TCACTGCCACCACCACCTCCACTATCACCCACTACTGCACACCACCCACTACCAACACCACCACCACTACTTCTATTACTACTTCCACCAAACTCTAATACAACACCACCACAACTATCATACACTATCACTACTACTACTACACACTTCCACCCACTACTGCCAAATACTACCACCACACACTACCACCATTACTACCACCACTACCACGCACTACCACCACTAATACCACCACTACCAACACATTACCACTACCACTACCACACACTACCACCACTGCCACTACCACCACTACCACTACCACCACTACCACTACCACCCTGTGCACACCTCCAATTAAGAGATTGCCCGAGGATATTACCAGCAACCACCATCACCACTACCCTTCCACGCTCTCTCTCTCTCTCTCTCTCTCTCTCTCTCTCTCTACTCCTACTCTCTCTCTCTCTCTCTCTCTCTCTCCATGAACAATCCTTATAACACACAAGTATGAGATATACATATCCCAAACTGGCTTAACAGTAATATTTCAACTATCCCCTTAGGCCTGTAACAAAGATAGCTAAGCCATCATATGTCTGTAACAAAGCTAACTAAGCCACCACAGGTCTATAACAAAGCTAGCTAAGCCACCATAGGTCTATAACAAAGCTAGATAAGCCACTATAGGTCTATAACAAAGCTAGCTAAGCCACCATAGGTCTATAACAAAGCTAGATAAGCCACCATAGGTCTATAACAAAGCTAGCTAAGCCACCATAGGTCTATAACAAAGCTAGATAAGCCACCATAGGTCTATAACAAAGCTAGATAAGCCACCATAGGTCTATAACAAAGCTAGATAAGCCACCATAGGTCTATAACAAAGCTAGATAAGCCACCATAGGTCTATAACAAAGCTAGCTAAGCCACTATAGGTCTATACAAAGCTAGATAAGCCACCATAGGTCTATAACAAGCTAGATAAGCCACCATAGGTCTATAACAAAGCTAGATAAGCCACCATAGGTCTATAACAAAGCTAGCTAAGCCACTATAGGTCTATAACGAAGCCAGCTAAGCCACCATAGGTCTATAACAAAGCTAGCTAAGTCACCATAGGTCTATAACAGACGAAGTTCATCATGTGTAGAGCCATGATACACTGAAGTTGTACCATTCTCATAGTTCATGAAACAGTTTACTCAGCTTGTAATAATTCCAGAACAGTGTTAGATGGTCATGATATGTTCCACAGAGTGTTAGATGGTCATAATATGTTCCACAGAGTGTTAGATGGTCATGATATGTTCCACAGAGTGTTAGATGGTCATAATATGTTCCACAGAGTGTTAGATGGTCATGATATGTTCCACAGAGTGTTAGATGGTCATAATATGTTCCACAAGTTTAGATGGTCATAATATGTTCCACAGAGTGTTAGATGGTCATAATATGTTCCACAGAGTGTTAGATGGTCATAATATGTTCCACAGAGTGTTAGATGGTCATGATATGTTCCACAGAGTGTTAGATGGTCATAATATGTTCCACAGAGTGTTAGATGGTCATAATATGTTCCACAGAGTGTTAGATGGTCATAATATGTTCCACAGAGTGTTAGATGGTCATGATATGTTCCACAGAGTGTTAGATGGTCATAATATGTTCCACAGAGTGTTAGATGGTCATGATATTCCACAGAGTCTTAGATGGTCATAATATGTTCCACAAGTGTTAGATGTCATGATATGTTCCACAGAGTCTAGATGGTCATAATATGTTCCACAAGTGTTAATGGTCATAATAATGTTCCACAGAGTGTTAGATGGTCATGATATGTTCCACAGAGTCTTAGATGGTCATAATATGTTCCACAAGTGTTAGATGTCATAATAATGTTCACAGAGTGTTAGATGGTCATAATGTTCCACAGAGTGTTATGGTCATAATATGTTCCACAGTGTTAATGGTCATAATATGTTCCACAGAGTGTTAGATGGTCATGATATGTTCCACAGAGTCTTAGATGGTCATAATAGTTCCACAAGTGTTAGATGGTCTAATTGTTCCACGAGTGTTAGATGGTCATAATAGTTCACAGAGTGTTAGATGTCATAATATGTTCCACAGAGTCTTAGATGGTCATAATATGTTCCACAGAGTGTTAATGGTCATAATATGTTCCACAAGTGTTAGATGGTCATAATATGTTCCACAGAGTGTTAGATGGTCATAATATGTTCCAAAAAGTGTTAAGATGGTCATAATATGTTCCACAGAGTGTTAGATGGTCATAATATGTTCCACAGAGTGTTAGATGGTCATAATATGTTCCACAGAGTGTTAGATGGTCATAATATGTTCCACAGAGTGTTAGATGGTCATAATATGTTCCACAGAGTGTTAGATGGTCATAATATGTTCCACAGAGTGTTAGATGGTCATAATATGTTCCACAGAGTGTTAGATGGTCATGATATGTTCCACAGAGTCTTAGATGGTCATAATATGTTCCACAGAGTGTTAGATGGTCATAATATGTTCCACAGAGTGTTAGATGGTCATAATATGTTCCACAGAGTGTTAGATGGTCATAATATGTTCCACAGAGTGTTAGATGGTCATAATATGTTCCACAGAGTGTTAGATGGTCATAATATGTTCCACAGAGTGTTAGATGGTCATAATATGTTCCACAGAGTGTTAGATGGTCATAATATGTTCCACAGAGTGTTAGATGGTCATAATATGTTCCACAGAGTGTTAGATGGTCATAATATGTTCCACAGAGTGTTAGATGGTCATAATATGTTCCACAGAGTGTTAGATGGTCATAATATGCTGTGTATAGTGTTAGAGTGGCAGCAAATGTTCTCTCACAAGTGAAAGAAAACTATGTAGATTGCGAGTGTTGATATAATTAAAAAATATCACTACTCAGTAGGAAGTATGGAGAGGAAAGGAAAGTGGGAGGAGAGGGAGGATAACTGGGGAGGAGTGAGGTGGAGTGAGGGGGGGATGTGAGGAGAAGTGGAGGGGAGGAGTTATGAAGGGAGAAAAAACTGAAAGAGGGGAAAACTGAGAGAGGGAGTAATTGCATCTTATCTCTTACTCTCTCTCTCTCTCTCTCTCTCTCTCTCTCTCTCTCTCTCTCTCTCTCTCTCTCTCTCTCTCTCTCTCTCTCTCTCTCCTGCTCATACATAAAAACTAACATTATCATAACTAACCACAAGAGAAACAATCAGCTTTTCACTCTTCTAAATCACAGTGCAGTGGAGAGTCATGTTTACCAGTGCTCAAGTGACTCTTACACTCCAACGATCATACATCATCTATTTCTATCTATCTATCTATTTATCTATCTATCTATCTATCTATCTATCTATCTATCTATCTATCTATCTATCTATTATATATATATATATATATATATATATAATATATATATAATATATATATATATATATATATATATATATATATATGTATATGTATATATATACATATATATATATAAAATATATATATGTGGAATGATCTTTCTTCTCTCTGCTAGTGGCAGGCTCTTGATCCAAGGAATTTATGCTACCATTCTCTTCCTCGAATCAACACCGATTACCTCTCGTTCTTCAAGCGCTGTGTTAACCCCTGCGGGTCAGTCAAGCGCTGTGTGACCCCTGCGGGTCTGAACGTATTTCATGTTTTTTAGATGAAAATTTATATATATATATATATATATAATATATATATAATATATATATATATATATATATATATATATATATATATAATATATATATATATATATATATATATATATATATATATATATATATATATATATATATATATATATATATATATATATATATATATATAATATATATATATATATATGCAATAAGTTCACAGTAAACAGGTGATTTTAAAATATGCAAAACAACCACTGTGAAAGAGTAGTGAAATTCCAAGCGCTTTCGTGACTACTCACATTGTCAGTGTGAGTAGTCACGAAAGCGTTTGGAATTTCACTACTCTTTCACAGTGGTTGTTTTGCATATATATATAATATAATATATATATATATATATATATATATATATATATATATATATATATATATATATATATATATATATATATATATATAATATATATATATATATATATATAATATATATATATATATATATATATATATATGGTGGTGTGTGTGTGTGTGTGTGTGTGTGTGTGTGTGTGTGTGTGTGTGTGTGTGTGTGTGTGTGTGGGTGTGTGTGTATGTGTGGCATGTGTGTGTGTTGTGTGTGTTTGAATTTGTTACTGTTAAGGTTCTTTATATCATTTAAATAATTGCATATTCTTCATTATTACTCTTTTGCGCATTGTTTTAAATCATTGTAAATAAAAATGCTGAGGACAGATCATTATTTTCAGCTTTACTAAGTGATACGTAATGATTTATTAGGAGCCTTATATATGATTTGGTATAGTTCATCATGTTCATTATAAATCTTGTGTGTGTGTGTTGTGTGTGTGTGTGTTGTGTGTGTGTGTGTGTGTGTGGTGGGTGTGTGTGTGTGTGTGTGTGTGTGTGTGTGTGTGTGTGTGTGTGTGTGTGTGTGTGTGGAGTCAGCTCCTGGCTGCACCTCACTCAGACCCAGACTGGGTGTTTTGTTTCAGTTAATTAGTGTTGTGTGGGGACCTCCCAGGTTACCTGTGGGCCAGGTAGTTAGGCCCACCAGGCGTGTGTGTGTGTGTGTGTGGGCGTGGGTGGTCAGTGACCAGGTCACCCGTGACCTCTGAGGTAGGAGTCTGGAGGGGCGGGGCTACACTCTCCATTGGCTAGGACGGGTGTTGATATTTACCAATACGTGAGGTTTGACGGGCAGGTAGGGCAGGGAAGGGTTATGCCCTCTGCCCACTCGTCTACCTGAACCTTTGAGTCCAGGTGAACATTGGGTATTTCCTCTTGCAATCATTTTTGAGACATTAATGTGTTGTTTCCTCTCCCTCAGGACCACCCGTCTCTACGTGGGACCCCACTGGCCATGCTTGCCGCACAGTGCAACAAGTTAACTAGCAAGAGCCCACCGCCGCTAGCAGACGCCGCAGTAGGGAAAGGCTTCCACCCGTGGAAGAAGAACCCAGTTGGGGCAGCAACAGGGTCGGGGGGCGGAGCCTCCGGAGTAGGTACAGGACAGAGGTCAGGCCCCGCCTCTACGGCCAGCAGTGGTCACGGACCAGCCTCCTCCAGCAGTTACCAGCGGCCAGCCGTAACGACAAGTGCAGCCTGCTCCTACCCTCAGCCCTCGGACTTGTATTTTCCCTGCTCATCTGGGGGACAGTCGGAGTCGCAGGCATCATTGTTGTCCAAGGTGGACGGCTCTTCACACATCCCCTCCATGAGTTCCATGTACTCTCGCGTCACGGGGGTTACTCACCCCTACGAGTCTTGGCCCTTCAACAGTATGGCAGGTGCTGCCTCAGCCATCAAACCTGAGGTGTCAGCAGTGAACTCCCTCAACACGACCAGCTGGTGGGACGTGCACAGTGCAGCCGCCGCCTCTGCAGGCTCCTGGCTGGACATGTCAGGAGCAACGTCAGCGGGCTTGTCAGGCGTGGCAGGCATGTCTCAGATGGCCAACTACCCAACTGGAGACTACTCCACCCTCACGCATACACTAGCAGCCTCCAACACAGCACACCTTCTGTCCTCAGGACAACACTTGTTGCAGGATACGTACAAATCTATGCTGCCCACACAGGGCATGGCCCCGGCTATGGGCTCACCGTTCGGGCTGGGGCAGCCCACATTACCACAGGTTCCCTCCCCACGCTCCCAGCGGCGCTACACTGGACGAGCCACCTGCGACTGTCCCAATTGCCAGGAAGCTGATCGTCTGGGACCAGCTGGGGCACACCTCCGGAAAAGGAACATCCACTCGTGCCATATCCCTGGCTGTGGCAAGGTCTACGGCAAGACGTCACACCTGAAGGCGCATCTTCGCTGGCACACGGGTGAGCGCCCTTTCGTTTGCAACTGGCTTTTTTGCGGGAAAAGGTTCACGCGCTCAGATGAACTACAGCGTCATCTCCGAACCCACACAGGTGAGAAGCGGTTCGCGTGTCCCGTGTGCAACAAGAGGTTTATGCGGTCCGACCACCTTAGCAAACACGTCAAGACCCACAACGCCTGCAGCTCCGGCAAGAAGAACAGCGACGGTAGCGAGTGTGACAGCGAGAACAGCCAGAGCGAACCACCCTCCGTGTCCTCGCCTGCCTCTGTCAACACACCGCCCATCAACACGCCCACTACGCCCACCGCCCAGGCCATGAGTCCGCCCGCGCCAGACCTCAAACCTCTTGTGTGAGGGGACTTGGTCGTGGGCGGCCTCTGGACCTCTCCCGACTCCTCCTAGCACGCCCCCCTGCGGCGTGGGCGGCCCAGCAGCAGCAGGGTACAGAGGGGCGTCTGCCATGGGCTGCATAATCCCCCCTTGTGATAGTGGGCGTCCTTACGACGCCCCTGGTGGTGGTGGAGTGTCAGTGCAGAAGACGGGCCCCGCCTCGGGCCAGCTAACCCCTCCTCCCCAATCCTCCAATACCCCCTAAACCCCAGTACCAGGTCCTAGTATCAGGCAGGGCTCGTCAGGGCTGCCTGTCTCGCCTACCTCCCCGTCAACATGTGCCAAATTTTACAGCCCTCTCGTGAGCCACGTGTGTAAGATGTGTACAGTGTTTTCTTATATAAGAAGAAACTCTTTTTTTTTTTTTCAACTAACTCTGACAATGGGCATTTGTACAGTGTATGGTTCCACTTTTTTTTTTTTTTTTTTTTTTTATCTCCTTGTTGATATACAATAACACCTTTTAGTATGATACACTTTATTGGCATTTTATTGATTCCACCTTTACACTCCACTAACAAAATTATCCAGTACTGAGAAGCGTTGCGTAGTCTACATGCTGGTGAAGGGTTCTTGATCCGGTTCTTGGCCCATCTCCCTACTGTCGAACCTGATTACCTCCCATTTCCCAAGCTCTGTATGACCATTTACAGGTTTAATGGTTGCTTGTAAACATAATAAAAGCGTTTGATACATGGAAATCTCCACACTGTGGCTGGAACAATTCACATTAACCCGCGCACTACGAATGTATGGTTGGTTAGTTGGGAATTGTTTGTCTAGGCTGGACGACGTTTTGGTTGGGCCTAGACAATTATCAAGCCCTTCGTGACTTGATAATAGCCGATAACGGGTCGAAACGTTGCCCAAGTTTTCCCCTGTCCTTTCAGGATAGTCACTTACATGTTAGCTGTTGTAAAAGAAATATACGCTTCACTTACATCAACACACCCATGTGTATGTGTTTGTGTACGTGCACGCACATGTCATGTACACCACCAATACCACCAGGTGTACGGGCGTGTGCGTGCACAAACGCGTGTTGTGCCCATCAACACGGACACTTAGCAGCCAAAGATCACATCATGACTGACGTCTCTGAGAGAAGACGACGACAAGGTTCGTGAGAGTATCCTCGTCAACACCTCGAGGCTGGGCTAATTAACGTAATGAAGGGAGCACAAGAAAGACATGTTGAGTAGCGAGGTAATAGCGAGTTGCAACAGCCATGCGCGGTGGTGTGTTAAGGGGGTAATAAGCATTAGGGAATAATTGCTGGCTATTACCTATTTCGCGGATTATGGCGTCTGATCTTACGGCCAAAGAAGTTGTAATAGGAAGGACAGGCCGAGGGAAAAGATGGGGAAATTTTTGGGTGAATAATAGGACGTGTTAGAGAATAGGAAGCACGTTGGTTACTAGAAGATTTTATTGATGAATAGAGGAACGTGTTCTAGAGTAGAGGAAACTCTGTTTTAAGAAAATTCGCGAACGTTTCAGAGAGTAGTGTAAGAGGCTCTCGAAGAAAGGAAATGTAAACGAAATATTACATAGGAAAATGGGTACTAAATCCTGCATAAGAGGAGACTAAAAGAAAGATGAGAGTGGAATATGCCAAATATATGACTGAGAAAGAGAGAGAGAGAGAGAGAGAGAGAGAGAGAGAGAGAGAGAGAGAGAGAGAGAGAGAGAGAGAGAGAGAGAGAGAGAGAATAGAGCCAATCTTCTGCCTTTGAGGACATTTCCACCCTTCTCCTATTGTAGCTAATGAATGAGATTGATTAACGATAGCCCCAATTGCTGCTCTACCGAGATTAAACGAATGGCTTAGGCAGCCCAGTAGACTGTCTTAAGCTACCCAGTCGACTGGTATAGCTACCCAGTCGACTAGTATAGCTACCCAGTCGACTAGTATAGCTACCCAGTCGACTAGTATAGCTACCCAGTCGACTGAGTATAGCTACCCAGTCGACTGGTATAGCTACCCAGTCGACTAGTATAGCTACCCAGTCGACTGGTTTAAGCAACCCAGTCTTAAGATCGGACTGGGAATTAACGAAGTATAGAGACCTGAGGATCATGGAAAAAAAATAATTTAATTGCACATTCAGTCTAGAAAAAAAATCTTTGACGAATTCATTCAAAAAACTAAAATGGTGACAGGATTTAGATTTTGAAATAAATGAACGATGAAGGTAGACATTTTTTTCCCAGTAAACAGAAGGAAATGAAAAGCTTTGAAACAAACGAAAAAAACGACAAATTTCTAGCCACAGCTGATAAACGAGACAAAATCTCACCCAAGTCAATAATTATAATAATAATAATAATAATTATAATAATAATAATAATAATAATAATAATAACAACAATAAACATAATAATATAGAAAACAAAACAATAAAAAAACAACAAAATAATAAAAATAATAATAATAATAATAATAATAATAATAAATAATAATAATAATAGTAACAACAACAGCAACTCTTCAGAAAGGATCACCTTGAGGCTGAAGAAGAGAACTTGATCCAAGGAATTGGAGCTGCCTTCTACTTCCTCGCATCAAACCTCATCATGTCATATATAATTATGTAACTAATACCACAGCTTAGTAACGGTAATGGAATTTCTATGGGGAGTGAGGAACCGCAGAGCACAAGTAGGGGCCCCACAGTGGCCCAGAGTTAATGGCCCTGTGGCCCAGAGTTAATAGTATTCATGGCCTGGAGGCACTGGCCCTTGTAGCCCAGTCTTAACGACCGATGTGGCCCAGATGCAGTCGTCTTTATGGCCCAGACAGTGGCCCTTGTGGCACAGTGACCACTATGACCCGTAACAGTGACCACTGTGGTCCATGGCCAGTGGCCACTACTTCCCGCAGGATAATAAATCGATGATCAGTGAGTATAAACTGAGCCTGGGTAACGTCTGCCAGTAATGAATCATGTTAATGTTTTTCATAGCTAACGAGTCAATAACGAATAAATAACGATTCAATAACGAGTCAACAACGAGTCCTTAACGAGTTAGTATCATTTATATATTTTATATATATATATATATATATATATATATATATTATATATATATATATATATATATATATATATATATATATATTATATATATATATATTTATATATATATATATAATATATATATATATATACATTTATATATATATAGAGAGAGAGAGAGAGAAACTGGAGCTATCTTCTACCCTGGCCAAGGTTAATTTTCACCCCTATAAGATAATCTCCAGATCGGTGCTGTGGTGCTGAGGGGACACTGTCAGCCTGATTGTATGGGGAATGGGTAGGCATGGGGTGGATTTATGGGGAAAAGGGGGGAAGGCGGAAGCTGGATAGAAGGGGAGGAGAGAGAGAGGAGGGGGGGTAGAGGGGGGCAAAGCCGGTTGGAGGGGTAAATTGGGTCCGGATTAATGGATAAAAATTGGCAAAATGCTGGCTGTAATTGGGACAGTCTGAGGTGGCCCCCCCTCCCACCCTTTCCCCTTACTCTACCCCTTCCCTCCATCCCCCCATCCCCTACCCCTCGGGCTGGGTAATTGAACACAAATGACTCGGAAATGAATACGCTGAGGGGAGGTGAATATAATGAATATCGTCCTGTGAACAAACTCTCTCTCTCTCTCTCTCTCTCTCTCTCTCTCTCTCTCTCTCTCTCTCTCTCTCTCTCTCTCTCTCTCTCTCTCTCTCTCTCTCTCTCTCTCTCTCCTCTCTCTCTCTCTCTCTCTCTCTCTCTCCTCTCTCTCGTCTATCTCTCTCTCTCCTCTCTCTCTCTCTTCTCTTCCTCTCTCTCTCTCTTCTCTCTCCTTCTCTCTTCCTCTTTTCTCTCCTCTTTTCTCTCTCTCTCTTCTCCTCTCCTTCTCTCCTCCCATCTCTCTCTTCCATCCTCTACTCTTCACTTCCTCCTTTCTTTTCCTCTCTCTATCTCCCTCTCTCCCTTTCTCATACTCTATCCTATCTCCTACACTTTCCTTTCTTTCACTTCTATTCCTCCTCTTCACTCTTCTTTCTTTTCTCATCATCTCATTTCCTTTCCATCTTTTCTTCCTTACCTCCTTTTTCTCCTTCTCATCATTCCTCATTCTTTCTCCCTTTTGCTTCTCCCTTTCTCTTCCCTTACCCCTTATCTTCTCTCTCTTTCCTTCATCCCCTTACCTATCACTTCCCCTCCCTTTCATTTCCCCCCTTCTTTTCTCCTCCCTCTGCCTCCACCCTTTCCCTTCAAAGGGGTAAAGTGCGCTTGATCCAAGGAGTTTGAGTTATGCTCCCTTTCCCTCAGTCTGCCTTTTACATTCTTACCTCAGTCAGTCTTCTTACCTCAATCAATATATTCTTACCTCAGTCAGTCTGTTCCTGCCTCAGTCAGTCTATTTTTACCTCAGTCTGTTTTTACCTCAGTCAGTCTGTTTCTACCTCAGTCAGTCTATTTTTACCTCAGTCAACATATTCTTACCTCAGTCAGTTTCTCAGTTCATTCTTAAACTCAGTCGTACCGCAGAATATAATGGTATCAGTCATCATCTTATCTCTGATTCCTTCAATCAGTCTAATCAACTGATTCGCAAAAAAAAATCAGTCAATTTCAGATTCAGCCTGGCAATTTTCACTCGACTGATTCCTACAGTCAGTCAGTCAGTCCCTTGACTGAATTCAACTTTCACTCCATCCTTATTTATCCTCTCGTTTCGACATTTCCTTCTCTCCCTAGATCCCTTTCTCCTTTCTTCCTTCCTCCCTTCCTTCCGTCCTCCCTTTTTCTTCCTTTCTCCTTTCTTCCTATCTCACTTCCTTCTTTTCCATTTTCATTCCCTTTTATTTCCTTCCTTCCCTCCTTCCAATTTTCTTTCTTTCCTTCATTCCTTCCTTCTTACCCATTCTCCCTCCCTTTCTCTGCTTCCTTCCTTCCCATTCCCCCTCCTTCCTTCCTTCATTCTTCTCTCCCTTCCTTCTTCCTTCCTTCTTCATTCCTTCCTTCTCCCCTTCCTTCTTTCCTCTTCCTTCCTTCCTTCCTTCCTTCCTTCCTTCCTTCCTTCCTTCCTTCCTTCCTTCCTTCCTTCCTTCCTTCCTTCCTTCCTTCCTTCCTTCTCCTTCCTCCCTCCCTCCTCCCTCCCTCCCTCCCTCCCTCCCTCCCTCAATATTTCCCAATTTAGGCCAGACTGTCATCGTCGCTCCACCAATCAGGTAATCCTGTGTGTGGTAATCCAAGGGGAACTACCCTCCATCCCCTCGCTTGTTTCCCCTCGTTGCTTCGGGCTCACAAGGGAAGGAATCACGATCTTTTCATTAGATATATTCAATTGGTGGTAACGACCCTTCACATCACGGAGTTTAGTGATGGAGGGAGGGAGGGAGGGAGGGAGGGAGGAGGAGGGAGGAGGGGGAGAGGGTGGAAGAGAAGAAGAGAAAGCAAGAAAAGAGAATAAGTAGAGAAGACAGTAGAAGAAATGAACAAAGGGAGGAAGAGGATATCAATAAACAGAACATGGACTGGGAGAGAGTAATCAAGAGAGAGGGAGTAATCAAGACGGAGGGAGTAATTAAGAGACAGGGAGTAATCAAGAGAGAGAGGGAGTAATTAAGAAAGAGGAAGTAATTAAGAGAGAGAGAGTAATTAAGAGAGAGAGGGAGTAATTAAGAGAGAGAGGGAGTAATTAAGAGAGAGAGGGAGTAATTAAGAGAGAGAGGGAGTAATTAAGAGAGAGGGAGTAATCAAGAGAGAGAGGGAGTAATTAAGAGAGAGGGAGTAATCAAGAGAGAGAGGGAGTAATTAAGAAAGAGGAAGTAATTAAGAGAGAGAGAGTAATTAAGAGAGAGAGGGAGTAATCATGAGAGAGAGGAGTAATTAAGAGAGAGAGGGAGTAATTAAGAGAGAGGGAGTAATCAAGAGAGAGAGGGAGTAATTAAGAGAGAGGAGTAATCAAGAGAGAGAGGGAGTAATTAAGAAAGAGAAGTAATTAAGAGAGAGAGAGTAATTAATGAGAGTAGGAGTAATCAAGAGAGAGAGGAGTAATTAAGAAGAGGTAATCAAGAGGGAGGAAGAGGTCTGACAAGACGAAGAGATAGAAGAGAGTAGAAGAGGAAGAGAGGATAGTGCCTCATTCTATATAAAAATAACAGAAATAACAATAACAATAATAATAATAATAATAAATAATAATAATAATAATAATAATAATAATAATATTATTATTATTATTATTATTATTATTACAATATTATCATTATTATTCTTATGATAATAAGAAAGCGCTAAACCCGTGAGAGTCATACAGAATCATGGAAATGGAAGGTAATCAGAATTAATCCGAGGAAAGGAATGGTAGATCCAGTTATCTGGATCAAGAGCCATTCACCAGGAACAAGGCACGTACCCACACACTTTCCTCACACACCACACACTCACTCCAAACACTCACTCTAAGCACTCACCCCACAGACTCACCCCACACACCACCCCTCCACATCACCCCTACACACTCACCCCTCCACATTCACCCTCACACACTCACCCCTCACACATTCACCCCTCACACACTCACCCCTCGCATACTCACTCCTCACACACTCACCCCTCACACACTCACCCCCACACACTCACACCCTCACACACTCACCCCTCGCACACTCACCCCTCACACACTCACCCCCTCACACACTCACCCCTCACACACTCACCCCACACACTCACCCCCACACACTCACTCTAAGCACTCACCCCACAGACTCACCCCCACACACTCACACCCCACAACACTCACCCCTCACACTCACACTTCAAACACACTTTAACTTTATTCTAACTACTACTTTTACTACTACTAACTACTGCTACTACTACTTACTACTACTACTGTTTACTACTACTATTAACTACAATTTCTAATCTTACTACTACTATTACTACTGCTTACTACTACTACTACTACTACTACTACTACTACTAACACTATACTACTACTACTACTACTACCTAATACTATATAAATACTAAATACTACTATATACTAACCTAAAACTATACTACTTACTAAATTCTACTACTACTACTACTACTACTACTACTATTACAACTACTACTACTACCCAATACTTATACTAATACTACTTACTACACTACTCTACTACTACTTTCTACTACTTCTACTAACTACTACTATCCTAACTTACTACTACTATTACTACCTACTACTACTACTACTACTAACTACTATACTATACTACTACATACTACTACTCTACTACTACTATACTACTACTACTAATTT